ATATATATATATATATATATAGTCTACTGTGTTTTTACTTAGTCATTTTTAAATACTTAATCATTTTTAAAATATTTAAAATTACTTTTACCTTGTTTCCTTATAGACACAAGCAAGCGTACATGTTAATGTTTAGGCTCTGATACGCTGTGTAACCGCTCTGTTGTTACAGTTGGTGTGGACAGGGCAGGTGGAGGTGACGACGGTTGGGGAATATAACCACTCTTCATTACAGCCCAGTGCCAAGATTTCCCTCGAACAATAGAAAAAGGATACGCACAACAACTACATTGTTACCTAGACTGGGAGTTATGGGAGTGTACTGATAAAGCAGGCTAATCAAACGCAGTTAAATGACACAGACACACGCTTCCATCAACCCCTAAGGGCCCCTGTTGTAAAACACAGCCGGTAACTGTCACAGGGTCCATGCCCTCCAGATAGAAAATCTCACACTTTACTTCCCTCTCTTCCTTGTTTTTCCCTTGATGTCGGGTGGAACGGCCTGGTTCATGTTGGGCCGGTTTGTTCACCTGCCAACGGACTAGCTAATCCTGAATTTACCTGGAAAACACTCAAAAATACATAGCTCCCAGTCCAACATGCGACATCTGCAGGAAGGGTGATATAGCTTTCTCAGAGTCTTGATGTACAGATGTGAGATAATGGACTGCCTGCATCTGTACTGGGTCAGCACTGGACGTGTCTAGACATGTCAGCTCTGTTTATGACAGGATAATCAGTCACTGATAAAATATTTATTTTCAGATGGATGTGAGTCTTGAATGTACAAAGGTACTGAGGGCTGCAATAAACATTTAATCCCCCTATGAATAATGCAGTGCCGATGACTAGTGAGCTTTAGTTTGTTCGATTGTAATTACATTAGGGGTGCGTTCAAGAACCAAGTGGTTAAATCATTAGACATAATCATTATTAGTGTGTCATTACTTAATTAGGTTAATGTGTCACAACAACACAAATATGAACACAACTTGTTACTTGGTGCGTTTTCGGTATAAAAACATTGTGTGTTCTTTTCTTCTATATTTTTTTTCCTGAATTTTTACAAAGGCCTGTGTATGAATCATGTGTCCACTTTGTCGTAGCTCTTTTCACAGCTTTCCAATAATAACTGCGCACATGTCATCTCTCATCTCCTGTTGTTCGTTTGTCCCAGATTACTAAAGCTTTCTCTGCACTAATATCAGCCAGACCTTCCTCAGACTCACTGGGGCTTCTGTAAAGGCGTGGTAACATTTATGTACACATGAAATATGTGGGTGTAAATGTTTTAATAAGAGCTGAAATGAAGCTATAAAAATTTTAGGGCCCCTTGATACTGTAGGGCTGTGAATATAGTCAAGACGGCTCAATTTTAGTACGTTGCTTCCCCCTTGTGGTTGGATGTAAAACTTAAATACACTTGCTGAGATTTAGTGCTGCATTAAAAAGTCATGTTTTTGGAAATAGCATAACAGGTTAAATACTTGCTACTGCCAAAATACCAACATACTAGTGTTAGTCCAAGAGGAGAACAATACCTTTACATGAAGCTCTTTTTGTCTACTGAAAACCAGGTGTAGAGAAAACACTTAAATCTTGCACATTGCAGTTTTCCCTCAGTAAACTCATAATTTGCTGCTCATACTATAGTAAGGTAGTTGTTGTAGTGGTTATGTTTAGGTAGGGGTAGCGATAAGGCATCTAAAATATGGTCATGCAGAATAAAGCATTAATATGTGCTTTATAAGTAGGCTACTAATAAACAGCCAATATGCTAGTAATATGCATGCTAGTAAGCAACTGGTTAGTGTTCCCTAATCTAAAGTGTTACCTCTATATAATATTGTTAGCATAATCATTTGACTTGAAAGTTGAAATATAAAAATAGAATACATTTCAGATTGCATCAGTGTTTGGTTTGTCCTTTGTCTTTTTTTTTTTTGCTTAAATACACCAGCAGTAGCGTGAATTCCACAAAATGATCATCTAGGTCCTAAAATAATTCGTATTCATTTTGTTATATTTTTTGTTTGTTGAATCATATTTTTTGAGTGAAAATATATTATGACTGTATGTTTTAAAACTTTTTTCATTATATACTACTATTGAAAAGTTTGGGAACCGTAACGTTTTTTTCATGTTTTTGAAAGAAGTCTCTTAGGAGTGCATTTATTATAGTATTTTATTAACAAAATATTATAAAAATTATGAAATGAATTTTTTAAAGCTGAATAATGGCAAAGATGAATCTTCAGCTTCATTACTCCAGTCTTCAGTGTCACATGAATCTTCAGAAATCTGAAGAGCTTAATTATTTATTTTTAAATTATGAATGTTGAAAACGGTTGTGCTGCTTAATAAGTTTGTGAAAACTATGATACTGTTTTCAGTATTCTTCAAAAGAACAGCATTGATATGAGATAGAAATCATTTGTAAAGTTATGTAACATAACAAAATGTCTTTACTGTCACGTTGAATGAGTTTAAAGCATCCTTGCTAATTAAAAGTATTAATTTCATTAAAAAATAAAAAATAAACCTAGCTGACCTCAAAAATTTGAATGGTCAATTATTTTCACAAAATGTAATGGGTAAAGATTTAATAATATATCTGACCTTGCGGGTCATGAATATATAATGCGTCTATAAGTGTTTTGTTCCAAATACATGACATGATTGTATTTCATTTTGGATAGCATTAATTCTCTGAACTGGTAATGAAATAAACTGTCTTTGCAGTGATTCGCTTTAGTGTTGTAGTAGTGTGCTCAGAAAACAGCACCATGGACAGCAACTCATTCAGCAGTATGAGTCAAAGCTTCATTAGCAACATTTGATGCTGAAGGTGAAATAACCTTCTATGAGAAGAATAGTCTGAGGGAGCAGCTCAAGTCGATGACAAAACGCCATGTTGAATGTAGTAAATGACAAGTTTATTTCTTGCACAAAATGTACAAAATAACAAGCAAATGGACAGCCCGTCCCCCCCACCCTCCTCCCTGCCCTGTTTGAATTCCCCGCTGATGAAGTTGAAGATCTGGAACAAATGTCTACAGCAAGTCCGATGGTCCAAGCCAAAACGCATGGTTTTCTTAGAGACAACACATACCCAATTCAGATTCACCGAACAATTAAAAATGAATAAAAACACCGTATTTACAGTCTTGTCTGAACTTTTACAGCATGCCATCTAAATATTCATACAGAGCTTTTGTTTTGCAACAGAACTCCATATAGAAAACGTATTAGAAGATCAAATCAAGTTCGACTAATGGCGAGAGACACCCAAAATACAGCACTGCGTTTGTCACGGTAATCTTTTTGAGGCATTCTTTTGTTTTTCAACCCACATCTTTTTTTTCTTTTTCTTTTTTTTTTAATTCTGTAACTCTAACAGAAAGAATCTCCACTGAACATTTGTTTAGGCCTCATAAGATTCCACAAGAAAACTCTTATTTACACCAAGTGTTTTGCAGCTTCAAGTCTGTTGTTTTCTGAGTGTAGCCTATATAATGTATCTCAAGATTTAGATTGCGTTCATGACTAAACGAATCACTCGGACGTCACACAGCGCATCGCTTCTATTGATCTAAAAGGCAATGTCGCAGTCTCATTTGGCAATGATTTGCTTTTGGATACAGAAGAAAGCAAATCCACATCGCCGTGTTGTCGTTCACAATGGTGTGATTTGGTTTATTTATTTGTTCCTCACTTTCTACAGATGATGTTTGTAATATGTGGACTCTGAATGAGACGCAGTGGTAAGGGAAGCAGCTATGGCACAGGGCAGAATGTGTGTTTGCGTCTGACTTACAGTTTCATGGCTTACTCGCTCCGTTTAGCATCCAAACTTTACAAGAGCAAAAAAAAAAAAAAGCTATTTAAAGGATTGTTCGTCTCATGATATCTACAACTGGCCTTTAACCTCCACAGACGAGCTGTTAGCATTATCCGACGTCTTTTACATTGGTATGAAGGCATTTCAAATGATCGTGTTCGCAGTTGTCGCCTCGGTAGAGTAGCCTATTGCTGTACAGCACTAATGAAGACGTCAAACAAAACGCTTCATTTCTTTACAAAACTATCCTGTGCTTTCCGAATATATACAGCTGGATGCTTATAGAACGCATTTGAGATGTGTCTCAAGTATGTGATCTTTACATTTATTCTGTAACAGACTTTGTGCCAAAGAGGAAATGCCGTGGACTGCAGTTTTATCAGGAAACCCACGATTCCCAGAATGCACTGGGGTGGAGCATATTGAGGATTATGAGGCAAAGGCGTTACAAATCAAATCGAGTCTAAACGCATGAAAATGGATCTGAACTATACACGGTTTCAAGCCACGTTAAAGTGTTTCCTGTGAAGTGGGATTCCTTTTCAAGTGTGCAAAAATACTCTCAGACGTAACTTGGAATATGAACCATTTTGTTGGTGGTTTCAGCTATCACGTTTTAATTCAGTTCCTAAAAGTTTAATATGTTTTTGTAAGACCTTTATATTTGTATCGGGTAATTTTGTTTGCTTTTTGAATTTTAATATACATATATATATATATCTATTTTCCCTGCTTTTATAAAATGACACACGATGATGAACCATCAACAATCTATATATATATATATATTTATTTTCATATTCCTTTCTCTTTTCTAGAATATCTTATTTAATTTGAGATCAAGTTGCATTTTGCTCTTGTAAACAAACAGGCTTGTGCAAAAATACTCTCAGACATAACTTGGAATATGAACCATTTTGTTGGTGGTTTCAGCTATCACGTTTTAATTCAGTTCCTAAAAGTTTAAAGGGGTCATATGATGCGATTTCATTTTTTCCTTTCTCTTTGGAGTGTAGATCAAGTTGCATTTTGCTCTTGTAAACAAACAGGCTTCAGAGGTTCGCCAGCCACCGTCGTTTGTTCTCTGACAGTCAGTCTCTTTCTCGCTCTCATTGAAGCAGGGCCCTGATTTGTTTAGAGGTGCTGTCATCATTTAAATGTCTTGTTGTATACCTGGATGAAAGAAAGAAAAGCTTTCAGGTCATGCATGTCCTGCATATTTTTGTTTTTTTTTATCCATGTACAGTTGGGAAGTGTTGTACTGCACACTCACCTCAGTGCATTCAACAGTCCCTCCACGCTGTTCGAAGGCTGCTCTTTCAACACCTTGATGCAGCCCTTCATCTGCAAACGCACACACACACATGCATGCAAAAATACAGCTTTAAAAGAAAGGTCACCCCTTTCTGTCCCTCACCCCTGACTGTGATCATGTACGCCCACCCACACACCCAAAAAAGCATACGTGAACAACCACAAACCCCTCTAGCGCTGCTCTAGATTTAGAAGTACTACAATGTGTGGAGATACTAGGTAGAACCACCCAGGCTTCTCTTTTCTATAAAATGAACAAATAGGTCCCATATGACAAATAAACACCATAAAAGTAGGCCACATGACCTGTGTGCTACAAGTCACACAATAGCTTTTGTGTGGCGAACTGTGTGAAATTTATTTATTTTTATTTTTTTTTGCTGGAGTTTTAAAAAAAAGTCTCTTCGTCTCACCAGTGCTGCATTTATTTGATCAAAAATACAGTAAAACTAGTAATATTGTGAAATGTTAATACAATTTAAAGCAGCTGTTTTCTATTTTAATATATGTTCAAATGTAATTTATTCCTGTGATTGCAAAGCGTTAAAAAAAAGTCTCTTCGTCTCACCAGTGCTGCATTTATTTGATCAAAAATAGTAATATTGTGAAATGTTAATACAATTTAAAGCAGCTGTTTTCTATTTTAATATATGTTCAAATGTAATTTATTCCTGTGATTGCAAAGCGGAATTTTCAGCATCATTTCTCCAGTCTTCAGTGTCACATGATCCTTCAGAAATCATTATAATGTGCTGATTTGCTGCTCAAGATACATGTATTTTTATGCTCTAATAAACAATGGTTCTTATTTACAATGTTGAAAACAGTTATGCTGCTTAATATTGTTGTGGAAACCAGGATACACTACTTTTTTATGTAAAGACATTTATAATGTTACAAAAGACTTACATTGCAAATAATGCTGTTCACTGAACATTTTGTTTATCAAATAATCCTGAAAAAGAAATGTAAAAAATAAAACATTTTCAACATTGAAAATCAGCATATCAGCATGATTTCTGAAGGGTCATGTAACACTGAAGGTTGAAATAATGATGCTGAAAATTCAGCTTTACCATTACATAAATATTACCACATTTCTACCTTATCTATGGATACCTTCTTATCACAATATTACCGTTTTGTTTAACTGTTATTACATAATATTACAGTAATCAGATAAATGCAGCCTTGAGCAAATATATGCAGTCTTGGTGAGCATAAGAGACTTATTTAAAAAAACATAAAAAAAAAAAATCTTATTTATTCTAAGCTTTTTTTACTATAGCACACAAAAGCTATAATAAAACTATGGCCATTCTTCAGAATAATTTTTGGTAAAGGTGAACATATTTTAAGCAGTCCCCATTCACTTTCATTATATGGAAAAGAGTGGATAATCTGTCTAACATCATTTATTTCTGCAGAAGAAATAAAGTCATACAGGTTTGGAACAACATGAGGGTGAGTAAATTAAATTATTTCAGGGTGAACTGTGCCTTTAAGAAAGCAGTTCAGTTATATAATATTCACAAAAACATGCAGCAGTTGCATTTGCCTGTAGACAATTTAGCCACATTTAAATGTATTAATTTCACTGCATTAGACATTATCAGATAAATATATGTGCAAACTAATTATACTAGGCATCACTTTTACAAACCAGTTTTGCAGTTTGACTATAAACCAACTAGTCTCATGGTGATTTTAAGTGAATATATGACATAATTTCTTCCAAATTCTCACAGTTCATCACATTAACTGTGAATGTGATCCACTAACATCTGACATCCAGAAAGTGTCTAGATATCTTTTTTTAAACAGTACAATGTGACTATATAATGTGAAATATTTTGCTAAAAATAAATGACACTGAATTTGATATTTTGTTATAATCCAATGACATTCATATAGTTTAGGTGTGGCTGAAGTGTCCAAATACTTTTTGGGTCCAGTGTACCTGAAACTAATAAAGTGTTCTTACATCAATCTTAGAGGTCTTGGCAAAGGCACCCACTGGATGAACATGGTCATAAAGGATGATGACGCCCACCATCACACGCATGCAGAACAGCATGGTGTCTGTGTTAGTAAAACGGCACCGGTACTCCCTTTGGACAGGAAATAGTGATCACTTTAAGCAAAATTGAATGTATTCTGGATAATTGACATTAATAAATGTTCAAATAATCACAATGTTTTATTGAAAAGATGTTGAATCAGATGAACTTACGGAGTCTCCAACATGACACGGCACACGCAGGCCATAGTGCTCAGGCAATCTGTGGTGTCCTCAATTGGCAAAGTCTTGTTCTGCAACATGCATAGAAATTAACACCGGTATGAGCCTCTAGAGGGCGACAACATTTCTGTTTTCTCCATTTCATAGGAAGTCAAATGGTTGTCAAAACTGTCATTGAAATGTATTTGGATATAATATCTAAAAGTAAAAACTTGAAACCAATACGAACCCCCCTTTTTGACATGTTTGGTTATATGTAGGCTACTGTTCATTAAAGGGATAGTTCACCCAAAAATGAAAATTCTGTCGTTATTTACCATTGACTTTTTTTAGTATGAAAAAAATATTGAAGTCAATGGCTACCATCAACTGTTTGGTTAGCAATGTTCTTTAAAATATCTTCTTTTGTGTTCAACAGAAGAAAGCAGCTCACAGGTTTGGAACAACATGATGATAAGTATTTTCGGACTATCCCACATTTGCAGAAGATTGGGTGAAATCATGAATTACCTCCGACACAAACTTAGTCGTGGCATTGCTCAGAGTTTTGAGCATGGGTGTGGCTTCGGCGTAGAAGAGCGACATCCGATTGGCCATTTCATTATTCACTTCATTCTCAGCTTCTAACTGTAATGCAAATGTAAAATATTGGTTGCCAGATGATTAAGCTTTTTCTTAAGTAACACATTAACCTTCCCATACAAATGCGCTCTCTGCTCAGTCAATTATAATAACTTTGATGCGTTTACTTTTTGGGGCATGCACACTAACAATGAATAGCTCAGACTGTTGGTTGCTAATACATGCATTACACTATAAAACTGCGTCATGAGGCAGATCACATGAGCTTCACTGTTTGCATTTGAACTTTGTCACATTCTTAACAAGCTTTGTCATTCAAATGAAGTCGCCAACTTTAAATGAAAATGAATGACTTCTTTTGTCAGAGTGAATGCTCCTAAACAAGAAATACTATTTCAGTTTTTCTACTTCAGAATTTAATGTTTAATTCAGTGTGCTGACTTGCCATTTCTTTGTACTGTTTGTGAAACTTGCTAGCATTTTCTGAGTAAAAAATGTTTTCTACACCAAATTATTTTCAGTGTAGTAGGCCTAATATCAATTTCAGCAGATTGTGAATTTACCTGCTGGTTGTTCAGCCGATTCCTGCTGATGGTCCTCCTATAGTAACTAAAGTCATTCTGTATGGCTGGATTTGTCATCTAGTAAAGACAGGATTTAGAAATGTCAAAAGCGCCTTCAGTATAGATTATTATGGAGACTACCGACTTCAAGTGGTGAGAGGAATGTTGAGGCAAATCACACCTCTCACTGTGAAGATTTATTTCCTAGATGTCCATTCTCAAGGGTGCACTTTAGACAGAGACCAGCTAACAGTGTTGCCATTTAGACATTTTACTCGACGTGACTCTCTAAGAACTTCAATGTGAGAGGCTTGACTGAGTGCAGATCTAAATATTTTAGCTGAGCTCATGCCACATGAAATCAAAGTGAGTAATGTGTGAGAAATGCTCACCTTGAGCTCATCAAAGCTGAGAGTGAAGTGTAGGATCTCTGCAAACTGTTTGGCGAGGGCCTGCTCTCTCTCCAGATGCTGCATGGGAGCGTAAGGTGGGCTAGTGAGGGCCTCCAAAAGACTGCGCAGGGCGTTCTCTGCAAACACATAATGATTACAGATTTTATTGTCCCTTACAGTTTATAGTCATTTCTCTGTAGCAATTTGTCTTTTCAAATTCATTCACTGTGAATGCTGTTATCGCCCCTCAAGATGTTCGAAGCCTTTATCATGTTTTCCCCCCACACCTCTGGCCTTTAATCTGATTTGTAATCCACATGGCATACCTGCATAATGTATCAAAAGCACAGCACTGCAATATGTGTATTTGATCTCCATGGTTACCAGCTCAACAGTTACCATTGTATTTGCCTCTAACGCCTCTCTTTTGTATTTTTGTAATTGCTGCAATTTATCATAAGCCATAAGAACCTGTGATCCCGTCAGTGTTGCCTGGATACTAGAGAACGTTGGAAGCCGCAGCTGATTCAAGCATTAATGACTTCCAACTGCAGTATACGACCATGTTTCTGGCTGCTTTTAAAACTCATTTAATAACCGAACTCCAAACCAGTGTATTAATAGGGAATAAAATGACTAGCTGGCTGTACGTTATCCCAGTTATTATATGGTGGCTTACCAAATTTATAAATATGATTGTGAAATATTGATTAAAGTTTAAATTAATTATCTCTTTAACTTCCTTTAAAAAAATAGCCCATTATACTGTTATTATTATTGTTGTTGGTGTTGTTGTTGTTGTTATAGAAAATGTCTATATCGATTCAGTTTTACAATCACAGGAATAACTGTTTAAATACAATAAATAATTAAATAATGTATTCTTTCTTTTTTATTATTATTCTTATATCTCTATTGTATTGTAAATACAGCCAAGTTACTTTTTCTATGGTTTAGTTTCAGTGTTTGCTTTAACTGGATATTTCTGAGATTCTAGTCATCTATCAATGATTGCAATAAATATGGACATTCTCCTAGGCTATATTACAATATGTGACAGCTATGAAAGCAGCATCAGGATATTGTCATGTTTGACAGTGAAATATCCAGTTTAATCATCATTATACAAAAAACATATATAACCACTCGATGGCATTGATTCAAGTATTCCAGAGAGACATTTCATAAGCAGTGCTAATGCAGTTTCATTAATATTATCACTGCATTAATGTTATCAGAGTGAATCTATGCTGCAGGTCTGTGCTGTATTGTTTAAAGCTGTTTCCTGTTTGGCGACTAGAAGTTGTACTGTACAGCTTCACCGTCAGAGCTAAGCCATGTCTGAATGTCATTAGTATGCCTAAGCATGTCTCCAGAGGAGCTATCCTTTCCTCTCATCAAATATGCAGCAGCCCTACTATAAATAAGAAGCTGATATGTTTTATCTGGAGGCCTACCGAGAAACCTGACTCTATCAGCCGGGGACCAGATATTGCGGATAGTAGGATGTGTTGAGGAGGGTGGGGCCTCTTTTTCTCATGAGTCACTGCGATTCCATACCTTGGCAGGAAAAAGCTTATCTGCATGTTATCTGTCTGGCCAGAGATCTGCGTCTTTTCACTAGTCAGCGCTGCTGTGAAAAAAAAGGCAGCTGATCGACGATTGCAAACCGTATACTGAATTGTCAGCGTGCATGGGAGGCAGAAACGCAGCCTCCGCTACGCTCTGCTGCCGCGGTTGCCATGCCAACTCTTTACAAGGTCAGCTGCAGAGGAGGACAGAAACGGATGCTTGCAGCACTCGTTGTACGCACGGTCAGCGCGTTGGACGACTCGAGCACGCAAGGCCCATTACATGACTATAAAAGAAGACAATTGGAAAACAATGGCCACCCACTTACCTAGCCTGAGAGAAAATTCGTAGAATCTCTTGAGCTTGGCCACTAGGGGGCAGACTGCATTCCAGGCTTTCTCCTGCAGCTGGAGGTCATTGGGGTTCTGGATCGCCTGGAGAGAAGGACGAGCTAGAACAACTGAAACCACAACCTTCATTTACACTGACTATAAACTCAAGGTCATCTGTACACTTTAAATGTACAGTTACATTGTGCGATTTATTCAGCAATGCGAAACATTCACAGCTGAATAACTACTGCACATTTGCTGTTTATGGACCAGAATGATTGAAAACTGCTCAAACCTTATGCTTTATAATGCCCAGGTGCTTTATAACAGGTGAATTGACTCCTGGTTCAGGATGAGTAAATATCAGTGGATCTTTCTATGGTAAGCAACACTGTTACTCTAGTTAGGGTTTTGTAACCCAGACAAAAAACTCTTTGTTTCACTAAATTAAAAAAGGGGGGTGAACAACACTACTGTTACATACATATTTGAAAGAAATTAATACTTTTATTCAGCAAGAATGCATTAAATTGGTCAAAGGTGAAAGTAAAGACATTTATAATGTTACAAATGACTTCTATTTCAAATAAATGCTATTCTTTTTCATCTTTTGATTTAATTTAAAAAAGTTACTTTGGATTAGTTTTTAGCTGCAGTGTTCGGTTTTCTTGCTTTAATGGGATACTTCTGAGCTTCTAGTCATCTATCAAAGATTTTATGCTCACCATGCATGAAAGTAGCATCAGTGTATCGTCATGTATGACGGTGAAATATCCACTTTAACAGTCATTATATAAAAACATATGATCACTCAATGGCATTATTGAATTAAGTATTACAGAGAGACATTTCATATGCAGTGTTAATGCAGTTTTAAAGAAATTAATACTTTTATTCAGTGAGGATGCATTAAGTTGGTCAAAGGTGAAAAAAGACATTTAGCCTATAACGTTACAAATTATTTCTATCTCAAATATATACTGTTCCTTTTTATCTTTATATCGATTGAGAAAGAATCTTGTGTAGAAACAAAGAAACAATGTATCACAGTTTTCACAGAAATATAAAGGAGCACAACTGTATTCAACATTGATAATAATAAGAAATGTTTCAGCAGCAAATCATCATTAGAATGATTTCCGAAGGATCATGTGACACAGAAGACTGGAGTAATGATGCTGAAAATTTAGCTTTGCATCACAGGAATAAATTACATTTTTAAATATATTCAAATAGAAAACAGCTGTTTTAAACTGTAAAAATATTTCACAATATTAATGTTTTCGCTGTATTTTGGATCATATAAATGCAGCCTTTGTGAGACTTCATTTAAAAACATTTTTAAAAATCTTGAATGATAGTGTAGGCTATATTAAAATAGAAGACAGTTATTTCATATTGATATTTCAATTTTACTGTATTTTTGATTTTTGAAATTCAGCCTTTGTGAACAAAAGACAGACAAATGACTGTTTTTGTCAATTTATCTAATTTTTCATTAGTGATTTGCACTGCCCACAACAATTGTACTATACATGCATGATATCTCAAAACATGCAGCTTTTAGATAAGACATGTTCTGTTTATTTTCTAATCAGGCTTACAATATTATCCTGGGAGATGATAAAACAGTCAAAAAAATGGACAATATTTTGACTTGGATGAGTAAGCAACCACTCAGAACACCCTAGCAACAGCCTAAAACACCCTAGCAACCACCCAGAGCAATCTAGCATTGTAGCAGCAGGTTTTGCAAAGGTAAGCACGACTAATAAATGCAAAAATAGCCCCACCTCTCTTATTTCTTGTCCTGCTCCATTGTAAGACTGTAACTCTGCCAGTATCCCATGGGCCTCTTCCAGCACGGCACTAACCTGGTTCCACACGGCTGTCTCTGCCTCTGTGGGCTGAGCATCTGTGGGCAGAAGTCAGATCAAGTCGGTCAGAATGTGACAGATATACAAAAATGCTCAAAATATACACAGTCCTCTTCCAATTCCTCGGCCAACCTGAGTTATGGATCACCTTTGTCACACTATCACACTGATATCGTTTCTTCTTGTCCTGATGGGTTTTGTTTTGGATTAAATGGATTGCGTTCAACCAGTCAAGTCAGTGATAAATCTGATAACTGGACCAATAATTACAAGAAAGCTTCATGGTGTGAGTTAATTTGGTGCTAACATTGGATTATCATCATCTTTTGGCACCCGGAGGGGGAAAGCGCTTTCCAACGAGCTTTGAAAGATAGGAACCATAAATCCATATGGATTAATCTGGTAATGATGATGGTGTTATTGTGAGTCGGAAGTACATGAGGAGGATTTGGGTTGTGTCGGTGTGTGTCAGGATTTGTTAGGGCTGATATTAACAGCTCTGGTGGGAAATGTCGATGAAAGGCCATGGCCAATGAAGCAGCTCCATATGGAGTTGCTGGCGAGGCTGGGATGGGTTTAAAGAGTTGTGTCAGCTTCCAACACAGCAAGCATCAGGCATTTGATTAATAAGCTGATGATAGCAGGCAGGAAAGCAAACAGAATATCATCCTCTGGTGGGCGTTTCTGTTTAGCTTTTAGTTTTTAACCACATGATATTCATGATAATACATACAAACATGAGTCCAAAAAGCTGATAAAAACATAACAATAATCCACAAGTAATCCACACAACTCCAGTCAATCAATTAACGTCTTATGAAGTGAAAAGCTGTGTGTTTGTAAGAAACAAATCCATTTTTTTTTTGATTTAGGCTTTATCACTGAAGGAAGGTTATTGTGGATTATTAAACATTAAACATCTTAATGATGGATTTGTGTCTTACAAACGCTGCTTTTTCCTTCACAAAATGTTAATTGATGGTGTGGATTACTTGTGGTTTTTTGTGATGTTTTTATCAGCTGTTTGGACTCTCATTCTGACGGCACCCATTCACTGCAGAGTATCCACTGGTGAGCAAGTGATGGAATGCTACATTTCTCCAAATCTGTTCTGATGAAGAAATAAACTCTTCTACATCTTGGATGGTCTGAGTAAATTTTCAGCAAATTTGAACTTTTTAGGTAAACTATTCCTTTAAGGTGCGCTCACAATTTTTGTGGGCGAAATCTAGCCATTTCAATTGGAATCTACTTGATCGTGAATTTCATCTAAAGGCGAAAAGGTTTCCTTAGCAGATTTTGTTCCTAATCATGTATGTTAAAGTTTCTTCATGGAACCATAGATGCCAATTAATAACCTCTGTTTTTACACTGTGTATGGTGTACACAGTGTAAAAACTGCAGCAGGAGTAATTTTGGGAAATGCTGTTAATTGCTAGACCAGATTTCTCAAGCCTCTGTACGGTAAGTGATCTGTGAAGCAGGCCTGATTTACAAGCAAACTTCTTTATCCTGCATCCAAACAGAGGGGCTGTAATGTATATAGAAGCAGTTAACCCTATCAGAGGTCCTTGATGCATTTTCTCTGTCAGTGTTTGACTGAATACACACATAGCTGTTTGTGCTATCAGCTGAGCAAACATACTTCAGTACAAACAAACACACACTCTACACTTCAGTGTAATTGCCAGTGGCTCCTCCCAGTCATGTCACCTCCAGGTCTGTTTGCTCATCCTGCCTGTGATCTTCAAAGAACAGAGTCTGAAGACAGGCGTCAATGCTACAGTAGCAATATAATGTTTGCTTTCCCTTTTGCACACTTTTATTGTGCACCACACACACCTTTTGGTTAATCACATGTATCAGAGCCTCAAAGCCTGTTTCTATGCCAATGTGTCTTGTATTTGAGATATTGAATTTTTATGAAAACCATTAGTGGCACACTAACCCCATTTCAGAACTGAGGAAATGTAAACCAGTGCGGTGTAACACAGGTGATCATTGTTTCACTGTCACAAAATCACAAAGTACAGATCGGGAGAGCGGCTGTTGTCCTTTTTTTTTTGCTTGTATTCAACATTCTGATATTACTACTTTATATTATGCAAATTCTGCTATAGGGTCAATGACAAGAATTGTCAAGACGACATCTTAAAACATATATACAGTATATATA